TAGGGCCGAACGGGCTTCTAGACTGAAATGGGCCTTGATGGCCGGTTGTCCCATTTGGCATGGGTGGACACGTGGCGTGTCTTAAGTGGTCCGTGGAGGACGCGTGGCGGAACCTGGTTGGTCCACTTGTCAAACGGCGCTTGGTGGATAAAAATCCCCTAATCAGGTACTATATGATATAGATTCATGTTTTGTTATTTTTTTCATTCCTCATTAATTTTTATTTTTTTGACAAATTCCTCATTAATTTAGAGCATGTACATATGGGTTCGCCTCTTTAGCTTCAAACTATTTCAATAGCTAGTTTAGGTGTCCCTATTTTAATTATATAATGGCATGTCCTTGTAACAAGACATAAATGTACATATTGACATATTTTAACTTCGGTTGCTGAGTATAATAATTAAAGTAATGTGACAATAGTTATATGATCGATACAGTCCATCAAAGCATATAATCGTGTAAAAAATATCTTCTTTGACATTATTATCTATTTACCCGTCAATTATTTTACATTATTAGTCTAATACATTACTCATAAATTTAAATAATCTAGGGCAAGTTGCAAGTGCATGTGTAGAACTATGCTGATATATGTTATTACTCTTTGTTTACTCTATAGTCACAAGTTTCATCAACCCTCTAACCTCTTACTTCTATTCACTAGATTATTACAACAAAACCTAATACTGCTTTGCTCCCTTTTCTAATATTACTCCTATTCGATTTCAACTCATACGAAATAATGTTCAATGTAAAATGACTACCGTTCGCTTTCTCTTATGTGTTTTTTAAAATTTCTTGTATAATCACTACAAAAATTTGGCCTTTTAGCGACAGGTGAAATCCGTGTCTAATTTCTAAAAATCCGTCACTGGACATAGCTAGCTACGGATATATCGACCGAATCACTCCGTTGGTATCCTTGTCACTAAATGGATTTAGAGACGGAAAAAAAAAAATATGTCGCTCATATCAGCAAAGGAAAAAAAATCCGTTGCTCATATCAGGAACGAAAAAAAAAAAATTCGTCACTAAATTTAGCAACGGAAAAAATATTTTGTCTCTAAAAATAGCTGCTATTCGGTTCAACCTCACTCAGGTCAACCCGACTCAGCTTTGCATGTAAGGCTCCTTGAATCCCCAATCTCAAGAATTACAATTGGTAAGAGTCAAACCCGTGACCTCAAAGTCACATAGTGAAACTCTTACCAACTTCGAAAATAATTTAGAGACGGAATTAAAAATTCGTCGCTCATATTAGCAACGGAATTAAAAATCCATCGCTCATAATTCCGTCCCTAAATTAGTGACGAATTTTCAATTCCATCTCTAATTTAGAAAAGGATTTTTTAATTCCGTCTCTAATTTAGAAACGGATTGGATTCTGTTGCTAGAATTCCGTTTCTATATGGATAATTTTTGGTAGTGAATATAGTACAACTCGTGTATAGAATGGGTCAATAATCTATACTAATATAAAAAGGCGTTCGTAGAACGTCGATGTGCCACGTAGTCCCTTTTTTGTTCCGCCACGTCATTTTCCCAACATCTCATGACGCCACATCATCATTCAAACAATGCCACATCACCCAAGCAACCAACATTACTCCATAACAAAAAAGTAAGAATAAGGAGGATCGAACCCTCAACCTCTTACAACAAAGATGACTATTCAACCATCTAAGCTAATTATCAACAATGTTATTAATATGTAAATAAAAATTATATAAGTGCAAACCATAAGGTTTAATTATAATAAATAAAATAAATAAAAAATACTCAAAGAATAATTCATCAATTTCTGTTTGACAGTGACGATTACAGTTTTAAAAGCCTTTAAAAAATTTATCGATTGCACGTGTACAACAGTAGCAACCCAGAGCAACGCCCGGGCTACTCACTAGTTAAAGTTTAAAAATCGTGTTAGTCTTAGTCGTAGAAATTAAAGAGGAACTACCTAGGTATTCAATTATTAGTATGAGTAGTGTATTTATTTTCAATATTTCCTAAAATTGTACAGATTAATTAATTATGGAATGTATATATATCAAAATCACACGTCAATCAACATAATTAATATTTATTTCTATTTAATATTTCTTCTTCTATCTAGCTCTCTTATCAGACGTCCCCAAAGCATTCATTATATTGGCTTTTGCCCTCAAAATATTAGCTTAATCCTACTAAAAATACGAACAAGGCCGGGTAATCCTTGAGCGTTGAACATTATCAATTTTTGAAAATCAATCAATATATATGAAAAAAAAATACTCGTATTATTGTTTATTTATATAACAACATATTAATAAGGATATTTTCAAGAGTATTAAGGGGCCGTTTGGTTCGCACAGGGGAATCGGAATGGAATGCAGAAAGGGAATGCAGGAGAAAGGAAAAGAATTCCCCTAATTTGGGCTAGTTGTTTGGTTGTGTCCAAGAAACGAAATGAACTATTCATTGATTCCCTTTGTGGCTGTTTGGTTCAAACTAGGGAATCAAACAATGATTTTTAAATTTTCTTTTTTTTCTTTTTCATATAATAACCTCCATTTATATAATAAGCAAAAAAAAATAAGGAAATTTTTTTTTTTCTAGTAATATGAAAATTTTCTAGTAATATGGAAAAATAGACCTGTAAAATGATAAAAAGTAATATGAAAAAATATTTTCATATTTTCCATAGTTACCTGTAATATGAAAAAATATACTTTTATACTTTCCATACTTTCCTGTAATATTCCAAGAGAGACCTGTTTCATATCATGTTTTATGAAAATAATACCAAAATATTGTTCATAGACCACGACAGTTTTAATCATACCAAAATACTGTTCCAAAACAACAACAAAAGTTTTAATCATACCAAAGTTAATAACACCTAATTCAAAACAAACTAGGTAACCACGACAAAAGTTTTAAGCATCACCGTTTTCCCTAATAAGACTCTTAACATAACTACTTTTCAAAGCGTCTGGACACTTTGAAAATATCATAAGCTTGTGTGGTTTCGAAGCTAGATCTTCAGCAACTTCAAACACTTGTTTAGGAGTGACACCCTCTAAATTGAGAGAGAATAGTTCCTCTAACACTTGTTCACTCTGCTGCACTAATTTTTTCTCTCTTTCATGTGTATCTTTTTCACGTTCATTAGTGCTTGCCATTACATTAGCCATAGTGGAATGATGAACATCATATCTTTCATGAATGTTTGTAAGCTGGCCAACTCGTTCGAACTACCAGCACCATCACCTTTTCTCCTTCTTTTTGTAGTTTTTTCAGTCTTGATTTTTTTTTGAGGGAGGAAAATTAACAGTGCCAGAACCACCAACTCCCTCATCGTCACTTGAATCAAGTGTAACTTGCGAAGGGGCAATTTTTTCCAAATGGTTAATTGTTTCAACATAACCTTCAGCTAGTTTACCAGTAGCATAGTCTTTGCCATATATATTCTGCAGTTCTTGAAAGTGTGGAAAGGAAACTCCATATAAATTTTTGCAACTTGGATGACTCCGCCAAAGACAAAACAGCTCATAATAATCAAATATAACAATATCATCAAGTATCTCAAACATTATTAAAATGACTTTAAAAAAGTTGTCATACCTTACAGTACTCGTCATAAACAACTCCTTCAACAGAAACCATTTTTCTTTCATCATCCCAAACAAATCCGCTCGTGTTTAACATTTGAGAAATAACCCTAAACTTGGCTATAAGTGTCTTTAGTCGAGAATCTATGTGTGGTGTAGCCTTCAAACCACATCTAGGTAGAGCATTACTGATAACCTCCTCCAATTTAACCATGTAACTGCTTCTAAACCCATTTTCACACCTCCAGTGAGGATCAACAACTAGCTCTGATAATGCTGATATAAGAGCCCTATCTTCTTCAGCAGTCCAAACCCGCTTGTTTCTCCCCCTTCCACCTCCACTAGCACTACTTTCATCCATCTTACTATAACATTTGATCCATAATAACATGCAAAGATAACATTTCATATATAAAAATGAAATTAACCAAGAAAATATTCAATACAAAGTATCTAAAAGAAAGTAATATAACAAATACAACATCCATAACTTAATAGTATCACAAAGTAAGTCTGCGGTTTCTAGCCCTCCAATCATTGAACATAGTTTGGGCCATTGTATTTTGAAATTAGTCTAAGGATCAGTTACATCAATGGAGGTTATATACTCAATATCATCATCATCACTATCACTGTCATCACCATCACTGTCACTACTTTCCTCATACAAGTCATCATCATCAAATTCTGAAAGCATGTATCATTTTACCAAGTTATGTAATAAGGCACATGCAAGCACAATTCGACCATGTGTTTGTAAATGACAGGCTAAAGTCGTATCACCTAATCAAAAGTAATTCCTAAAACCACTAACTAAAATAGATAGGGAAGTAGGTCGAATCCACAGGGAAACAAGTCTTTCTATTCCTAATTAATTAAAATAATCTAAATTATCAAATAACCAAATTGTTTTTAATGAGAATTAAACTAATAATTAAACTAAAGCAAATTGAATAAGGGAGGAAAACAATAATAAAAGGCCTAGGGTATGGGTTCACCAATAAATAATATTCCAGGGTAAAACATAACAATCAATTATCAATGCATAAATTAATCAGATCATAAAGGGCTTTCGCTACGTATTACAATCACAGAATTAATCTACCGGTATTAAATCACATCTCTCGAATCTTGACCTAACCATTTATAAAATAACCTGCCTATTGAAACTAAGCCTAAACATCAATTCTCATCTCTCGAATCTCGAATCAATATTGCATAACTCATACAATTAAACCTGCACAAATCTAATTGCATAACATTAAATCAATCAATAGGAAATCAACCAAAACATTGACAATCAACAATAATAAATTACCCCGTCATATTAATTATGGATCCCCACAACCCTAGAAATAAAACTACTTGCACATATTTAAATCTAAACTAAGCAAGACAGTTAAAGAAAGCATAATTAAATCAAAGCAATTAAATTACTGAAAGTAAAGAGGGAAGAAATCGTTACCAAAGTAGACGGAAGTAAAGAATTGCATAAACTAAAAGTGTCGAGAGGGATCAAGAGTATTAACTAAAAGCTTAAAACTAAAAACTAAGAAATTAAACTAATGAGAAAAGTAGAGAGAGAGAGAGAGAGAGAGAAGAAGGTCCCAAACTCGCTTAACAAAAGCGTATTTATATTAAACTAAGAAAAGCTAAGCTAAAACGAAGAATAAAAGTGCTAAACGAACTCAGAAACATGCGCCCGATCGGGCGCGCCTTCGGGCTAGCAGCTACTCTCTTCCTTCTTCCTCGCCCTGCCGGGCGCGCCTTCGGGCGAGGGCTTGCCTTGCCGGGCGAGCTCCCTGGCAAACTTGGACTTCTTCAATTGGGCCGTTTCTTAGCCCAATTCGCATTTCCTCTTTGGGTTTAGAATACATGGTCAATTGCCCCGGACTCTTCTTCTTTGCCGAGCCCTTAATCACCGATTTGATGACTCCAACCAGTCCTGGGCTTCGGAATGTGGTCATATGAATGCGACCTTACTCCAATGCTCGTAGCGGCTCCAATAAATCCGGGAAAATGCTCTAAATCCGCAATTTCCAATAAAACGATACAAAATCTACGAAAACACTAGAAAACGTATATTAGTAACAAAAGTAGCTCCGTATAGCTCAAAAATAAACACAATTATGACCATTGGGACGGGGAATAAATATATATATATAATAGACTTATTAGTAAACTAAACCAAGAAGGACTTCTAAGAATTCTCCATCTTCCCTTGAGTAACCCAAAGCATCTCTTAGTCACATTTCTAGCTTTTGCATACCTTAAGTTGAAATATTCTTCAGCGGTTAATGGTTGTCTGACCCCCCTATTCCACTCTTTAAGATGATAAAGGTGCCCTCTATATGGTGCAAGAAATCCTTCTCCATTAGTACATCCTCCATCACATAAATAATAACAACCTTGACAAATAAAACAAAAAACAATTAAATTCCACTCTCTTTCTAAGTCAATCTTACATAAAGTATACTACGTTAATCAAATTACCTTTTGGAACTTTCAAACCATTAGGCCTAGAAATAGCATCTCGAAGAATACGACCATCATGTGTCGATCCCTCCCAACCAAGTAAGACATATGTAAATTCCATTTCAGGTGAGCATACTTCTAACACATTCATAGCAAGGGTTCCTTTTCTAGTACGATATTTGGGTCGATCTTCACAAGCAACATTAACTAGAATCATTGTACCATCAAAAGCACCTAAGCAATTCTACAAAACAAACAATATCACTTTAAATTATCTAATAATTTCTAACTTTTTGTTTTGTTTTCAAATTAAAGTGTTGGTTTTATTTTATTTTACCTTGAAATATTTCCACCTTTCATCGTCGCAATCATCTTGTATTGGAGTTGGTTTCTTAAGAAGAACAACATGTAACTTTAAGATTGCTAACAAACAAGCATGAAATTGACTACTAATAGTTTCACGCACCACTTCTATAAAAATGTGCACCCATCATTCTATTTTTCTTATGGTGAGCTAATGTATGTGTATAAGAAGCCCGCAACAATCTCTTCCAAACATGTGTTTCTTGTTCCATTTAATCCACCTATATCTCTAACCATCTCTAAAAGTACAACGAATGTGTATCGATTTATACGAAGATAGTTCCTACACAAAGTGTCACTTTCTATAATCATTCTATTCAAGTTGTGTAATCTCATTTTTCTTCTTGTGTGCTTATCTAACTTAAGTTGTTGAGAATTGTATATTGTTTTTCTTATCGAGTACACCAACAAATGTAGTAACATAACACAATTAATCATAGTAATTATGAAACGAAGGTGGTCCCAATTTCTCTTCCTTTTCAAAGAAGTACCAATACGAGCCATTTTCTGTACAAAAGAACATCAACAACACCATATCATTGAAAAGTTTAAATATTAATACAAAACAAAATAAAAGCAAACAAACTAACCTCTACTAATATATCATCAATGATGAACCAAACAAGCTAACCTCTACTAATACAAAAGAAAAACAGCTATTCAAGACCATATAATCATACACAAATCATACACAAATCATAACACCCACACAAAACAGGACCATATAATCATACACAAATCGATACACCATTAGTCAAACCAACAAACATCACTGCACCACACTTGCCCAACAAAACATACGAATTCAACACACCACACTACAACACACATCACACGAATTCAGATCTGAAAAATTCAGTAGAGTATGTAAATGCTAAAACATTAACGGAGAAAGTGGTGGTGAGATACATGGTTGCCAATCCCAGTGTTGCCGTAAACCCCTTAAATGCCCAATTAGGGGCCGCTTACTAAAAAAAAGAAAGAAAAATAGAAAACACGAAGAACCCTAACGGAATACGAATTCAGAAGTACAAAATTCAACAAAAAATACGAATTCAACAAAATAAATCCCAAATGGAATACGAATTCATGAAGTACAAGTAGAACAAATACGAATTCAACCAAAAAAAGGCGAATTCAAGAACACAAAAGAGAGAAATCAGATGCGTGAGAAATCATAAACCAAACATACCTTCACGGCGGTCGTCGGAGGTTGCGTAAGAGTTGTCGGTGACCGGAGAAACAACGGCGGCGGCGGCGGCGGCGGCTAGCTCGAAGCTTCAGGTTAGGGTTGAGTCTGAAGGCAGATGCGTGGGAGGGAATGAGGAGGAATGAGAAAGAAAGAGAATGCAAAAGGCTGTGGGGGGGGTGGGGAATGAGTTTAGGACAATTTCGGGTAAACCCAAAAATAAAAATGGAGAATGGGAATGACAAAAGATGCTAAACAAACACTTACAAAGGGAATCATTCCCATTCCCTTTCCCCATTACAGTGAACCAAACGACCCCTAAGTAATTTCTAAGACATTAATCCATAGCAACTTTCAATGTAAATTACATTTTTATTAAAGAAAATATATATATTGTTTAATTTGACTCATTCTATCAATTACAAATATCAATCATTCATAGCTTAATGTGTTTAGGAGGTAAATTCGTTTAGCTCTTTGTAATATAAAATCGACACTTGTATACAATTTTCGACCTCCAATTCAAGTTAGTTTTACTAAGCTATACTTGAAATTTCGAACTCTAAAATTGAATTGAATTCAAATGTAAGTGATACAACTTGAAAAGTGTGTCATCAAACTCGTAATCCACTCAACTCAACTTTAAACATTTTAAATAATAATAATGAAAAAAACAGAAAAAATATCAAACAATAATAAAACCTTGGCTTCTAGTTCTAGTGCAAAGCGCCGAAGAGAATTTCCCACTCGTCAAAGATGTCAACATAACATGATTCCCTAGTATGATTATTCCCCTCATTTCCCACCATCATAAGATCTCCCTTCTAAGATGCATATATATTGAAATAGTAACATTACACCTCTATAAATACTCCTAATATCAACCTCCTAATTACATAATTAATAACATCTCTTAATTAAACAAAACTTGCTTAGTTTCTCAAAAACCTCAAATATTATTATCTTTCTTTATCACTCTATAGATCATGTCTTCATCCCTTTCATTTCATACACCAACTAAAAATTATGGTTTTCCTAACTCATCAAATGCATCAAAATCTTCTATAAAATGTGATTCGAATAATCGAAATTCATTGTCGTTTGGTACTAGCCAAAGTTTAAGCACTAGCAAAGGCGAAAACATCAACTTGGTGGCCACTCATGTGGCCACTAGATTGCCTCCTGTTGTTGCTCCTCCTCCTCCTCCACCTACGCCGAAAAAAGAAGAAACAAAGAATGGTGGCAAACTAACTGCTTGGACAAGCATTAGACAAGAAAGATGGGAAGGAGAGCTTCTTGTTGAAGGTGAAATACCCTCATGGCTGGTATGTACATACTATATTATAATATAAGCTTAATAAAATACTTCTCCATCATTTCTTATTTGAATTTAACTAAGTGTTCGTGTATATCATCATCATATGGACGACTATATTTAACACTATTGCATTGCAAAGTATAACTTGTACAAATAATGGCCAAATATTTATCGTTATTTCAATATGCTAGGTTAAGTTAAATCATTTCGACTTTTAAGCATTCTGCTTAACTTGTAGTTTAATAGAATATGATTGATAACCACATAGAAAATTTAAGATTTTGTCTCAAAATTAATTGAATAGAATTGAAATAACTCATTAAACTTATACTCTGTACTTTTTTTATATACACCTTCCAACTGTTCTTTTATCGTGAAATATAACACTTTTTTTACACATACAACTATACAAGTAGTGAATGAAATTCCCACCACTTAGGTTTACGAATGAAAAGGCACTTTTTAAATATAGCCGTCAACCTAATCATTATGCCTGCTATTTAGATGAAAGTTGTCTATTAAAGCCCATTGAAACAACCATAATTAAAGTTACATATATATTAATGATACTCTTAATACATATTCTATTGCACCTTAATGAAAAATCATACATCAAAAAACCAATAATAATGCATGTTGAATGCAGCGTGGAACATATCTAAGGAATGGTCCTGGCTTATGGCATATGGGAGACCACCAATTCCGGCACCTCTTTGATGGCTATGCCACCCTTGTCAAACTTCACTTCGAGAACGGAAGGCTGGTTGCTGGTCACCGGCAACTTGAATCAGAGGCATATAAGGCGGCAAGGAAGAACAATAAAATTTGTTATAGGGAGTTTTCTGAGACTCCTAAACCCAAGAATTTTCTAGCTTACATTGGTGAATTGGCCAATCTATTCTCTGGTGCTTCACTTACTGATAATGCTAATACAGGTAAATTTGTTATTAAATATAACCCTTCATAATTACATGTCCTCTTAATGGAAAACACTATTATACTTCAGTACAAGTTTACTTAGCTTAATTTAATAATAATAACTAGTCATGTTCTTATTATATATATTCATGTATGCGTCAATATGACTTACGTATTATATGGTGGTATATTATTGATGACCTAAATTTGATCATCAATGTATAACACATCTTTTGTTGACAAGTGCCAAAATCAAACTTTAAGTGAATCAATTCTCATACAAATATAAGATATAGGCTTATTTTTTCATGCATTTTGTTATGTGATTTCGTAAAACTAATAAGAAAGACGTTATAGTGAATAGAAGCACATACAATATACAACAGATGAATTGGTACAAATAATTGACATACATAATGTGATAATTACGAAATATATATAATCATGTATGTTTTAAGTTTTCTGATATGTATGCATGTGTATATGTAGGAGTGGTGAAACTTGGAGATGGACGAGTAGTTTGCCTAACAGAGACACAAAAAGGGTCAATAATAATTGACCCTAACACATTGGAAACGTTGGGGAAATTAGAGTTTGATGACCCCTTTCAAAGGCTACTTTTGCATTCAGCTCATCCTATTGTAACAAAAGATGAGATGTTGACTTTGCTCCCAGATTTGGTCAACCCTGGTTATCTAGCGGTCAGGATGAAAGCAGGATCAAATGGACGGCGAGTGATTGGGAGAATCAACTGTCGCGGTGGGCCCACCCCAGGGTGGGTCCACTCTTTTCCGGTCACTGAGAATTACATAATTGTGCCGGAGATGCCCTTAAGATACTGTGTAAAGAATTTGTTAAGGGCTGAGCCTACCCCACTTTACAAGTTTGAGTGGCACCCTCAATCTAAAGCATTTGTGCATGTTATGTGTAGATTCAGCGGAAGCTTGGTATGCACTAACATAAACTACTCTCCTCTTATACTATTTCACGATCAAATTGAATTGACTTGTATAAGTCTATGTATTCAAGTTAAAATATCTTATACGGCCAGGCCATAAATAATACCCCATACTCCATAGTAACATAAATCGTAGTATTATACATTTTTTTTAAAAAGTTACAGCCGATGAAGTTTAACCTTCAAAATCACAATTGCATAAAGATAGATATATCAATATACTGATTTTCACTTGTCTAAACCCTGCAACCACACATATTACGTTACTACTTTGTCTTTACGGCTCTCTATATTGTAAAAAATAATAATAATAATAATAATAATAATAATAATAATAATAATAATAAAATCTAAAAATTGATTCTTTCTTTGCCTTTCTAATTAATACTTCATTTGTATATAGTTAAATGTATAATTAAACATCAAATGATGATAAATAGCTAGGGATCAACTCATTCTTAATATTTTACATGATATTTGTAGGTGGCTACTGTTGAAGTGCCCTTGTTCTTGACATTTCATTTCATAAACGCATATGAGGAAACAGATGAAGAAGGCAACGTAACCGCAATCATTGCAGACTGTTGTGAACACAATGCAGATACTTCTATCCTTGATAAGCTAAGGCTCAAGAATTTACGCTCCTTCCTAGGTCAAGATGTACTTCCAAGTGCAAGGTATTATATTACAATTATAAGCACACACACTAATATTACATATTTACACATTTACATATTACATTGCATTATTGTAACGTAGTAATTGTATTATGAGGGTTACGACAACATTACAATTTCATGTTTAAATACTAAACAACCCTATAAATTTTTACCGACTTTAAGCTAGCATTTGAAGATGATTTTAATGATTAGCTTAAATATATGAGATTCACAAAAAAAAAAATCTAATATCAAAGTTTTACTAATTCAATATAATATGGAATGTTTACTAAACTACATATAGACTTAAAGTCACATACTTTAGATATAAGTAGTAATAACAAGTTGAACTTTTATTGTTTCTTAGATATTAAGCATGAGATGACTTATAATATATATGATATCTAGAATATATTTTCATATAAATAAAATGATGATAATAATGATGCAGGGTTGGTCGTTTCATAATTCCAATGAATGGGATGCCATATGGGAAGCTAGAGGCAGCATTGGACCCAGAGGAGCATGGGCGAGGCATGGATATGTGTAGTATTAACCCTTCTTACTTGGGCAAAAAATATCGTTATGCTTACGCTTGTGGAGCTCGTCGCCCTTGTAACTTCCCCAACACTCTAACTAAGGTATGAAATCCATATATACTATGCATATTACCGCCTATATATCAAATATGAAGTTAATTATATATATGCAAGTATCAATTCGTGCACTACATGTACAATATATGAGTTAGGTGTACTTATAAATGGTGGCGAGGGCATACACTATCAAATAAACGAAATGAAGTGTGATTATGTTTAGATAGATGAAGCCTAGTCACCAATTTATTATTTGACTATAGTGATTTAAATAATTGTTGGACCATGTATGACAAATTGTCAATCATGTCACTGTTGATTTTCACCAATAATAAAACAAATAAATAAACCTAATTCAATAAAACATAATCAACCTTAGTAAGAAAAAGTGCTAATTTTATAAAAACTTTACGTTACTTTTTTTTAAAAAAAAAAATTAAATAATATTTGCAACTTTGCAAGTGTAGTAAACGTAAGCCTAAAGAAATTTGTGTAGATATGGGTTGGCCAATCACAATTTATTTAATGGTTTTAATTAATTTGTTAATAAGTCAGCAGATTAATTGTTTTTAGCTATTGTATTACGCTTCCAACTTTCCATGTGTTAGTCACATTTTATATAGCCTAACGAATTTGATATATGATGGTGCAGGTTGATTTGATTGAGAAGAAGGCAAAAAATTGGTATGAAGAGGGTGTTGTGCCTTCTGAACCTTACTTCGTGCCACGCCCAGGGGCAACCGAAGAAGATGATGGTAATTTCATTCATCCTTCCTATACAAAAAGACGAGTGAATATCAACTACGAAGTATTTTACATTTTAACTAGCTAGTAAAATTTTATTATTGGAACTCTAGAAGATAGGATTAAATTTCGTGTCACATTACTATATTTACGAGTTTGGGATCCCTATGAACCTAAAGTGATCCATGATAATTGAAATTTCATAGTATCAGCCGAATCATTGTTTATATTTCCTGATAGATAAAACTTATACTTGAAACGTATAGCTTTATATATATACCCATCCAAATGACTTTACGAGTGATTTTGTATATAACGTAGTAAGCCTTTAAAGTTTATGTAACTTAAAATTCACCATAAACTGGTAATGTGGCTGAATTTTTCAGGAGTGGTGATATCAGTGGTCAGTGGAAAAAATGGAGAAGGATATGCATTGCTTCTTGATGGCTCGACCTTTGAAGAGATTGCACGAGCCAAATTTTCTTATGGTCTTCCTTATGGTTTGCATGGATGTTGGATTCCTATGGATTAGTTTTCCTTTTAACATATTCTAGATGGCTAGCTACAAGCTACGTACTCGCCTCCAAGCCTAAGAAGAACAACAACAAGACTGTTATGGTACGAGTTCGAGCCTATCACCGATGAATATCCCTCCAATAAAATTCTATCATTTGCTTCGCGCTAGGAGGCCAATCAACGATATGGACTTGCACGTTATAATTATATCTTATGTCATTTTTTGGAAGTTAGTCTTCAACTATATACATGTTTGTACAATGTGTCAATGTACATACGTTTACATGTAAATAAGTTATAGTACGTGTAAGGTAATACCAGTCAAAAAAAACAAAAAAAAATTATACGAAGTATAAGGTAGTAGCTTCATGCATATAGTTTGTCCTTCTGTATGTACTTTGTTACTCAATCTATAATTTTATGCTTACATTTCATAGGTTTTTGGGGTATGTTTTTCATCTGAAGTTAAGTATATAGACTGCCTCCTGTATCTGTAATCTGTTTCTGTTAAGTTTTCATCTGAACTTAAGTTGTTCAGATCATCATCAAAAATAAAAGTCAATTGAAGTATATCTGATCTATTTGAGTTTGAGCCCCAAAAGCATGATTAAATCCCTTCCTCCTCCACGGTGGTGTACCATATGTAAAGTCGTGTGGTGAATTGGATCAACGTAGTTTTACCAATCCTCAAGCTGTCAAGGAGCATCTTCATCTTCCTTGGTTATACCATGTACAAAATACGCCTAGTAGTACATAGAAAATTGCTATCCTCAGGATTAACTTAACAAGAGTGTTATTACAGTTTGCCAGCCCTTAAAAAAGGCATTTTCCCATTCAGTAGTTCAGTACTTTGAATAGCAGTGACAGAACTGGTTTATATATACATTCTCAGACCTAAGTTCCAGGTAATTACACCCTTTATAAAGTTCTGAAACGCTAAACAACACCCATCACCATACATTTGATTTAAAAAGAAAAAAGGAAACAATTTAATTATAATCAACGAATGTATTCAAAATATCAACGAATGTGTACAAAATGTATCCTGTCTACTATACAAAATTTAGTAGTACAAAATTGTGGGATTGATACATTGACATTTTGCCAAAAAGAAACTAGGTTAATTTCTCAAATCCAATCTTTCTTGAATCAGGAGTGTAAAAGCCATAGATGGCAAAGTTTGGCAGCCAATATATATGTTAACTCCACAGACGGAGCGAGTGTATGAAGGAGGCTACTTCTCCAGCCAATAGTTTATTTGCGAGAAATGATTATTTTCTCTGGTAACTCGATGATGGATCGTCTAATTACTGACTTCAGAGAGAATCTTGATCCTTATTTCTGGTCGGTATATACAGCATCAACGTCATCAAGTTCGAGCAATTTAGACATCAGCTCCTTGTTCAATTCCATAGCTTCATCATCTGCCTGCTCACAGAAACATACGTATGAGATAAGGGGTTTCAAAAAATTGCTTCCTGAAACTGACAAGATAACATGATTGAAACACTACATTCACTCCTTTTCTACTTCGGGCCATTACAAGAAGAGTAACAGAATGAGAGAAAACAATCATGCTTACAGAACAGAATGAGGTAGTGCCTTTCTGATCATACTGTGATAAAGTTGACTTCAGCCAAATCAAAGCATCTATTGTACTGAGGAATTCTTACTTATTAGGTATGTGCTATCAACGGATAAATGATGATTATAGCAAAAAGCAATGTATATGTCTTAGACTCAAGTTCACATAAAACTTCAGAAAGATTGATCTCCCTGAACCAGCTTACAGCCTTTCAATACTCTAGAAATAGCTATAAAAGATTGTATACTTTGTATGTATCCTAATGATTCAACCCCAGAATAATTAGAAAAATTATCTACATTATCCTTATCGTTTTCTGTGGCAGACATCAGTGCTTGCAGCTGAATTCTTCCATTGAAAACTACGACTCGTCAATAAATTTCAATACTATAGTAAATTACTCTGTTTTAATTACCAAAAATGTACAGAGAAACTATAGGTGAAAAGAGACACCTAGGATAAACTGTGCTCCTCCAAATTAGCTTACTTTCCAATTCTAGCACCATATGAATTGGAGACAAACATCACTAGCTCCCTTTCAATTTTTTCTTACCAATTGCCCATAGACTAATAGGCATAAACTTAGGCATTACTTGGATACATTGTATGAACCATTTTCACAATGGGTGATTCCACTGAAAGCATCACTTTAGTTGGCCTCCAGCATATGCAGTCTGTTACGCAACAAGTTTCTTATAGCAAAATTATCTACCTTCAATTACAGACTCTAAAGTGGTACAGTCTTTTCAGCGTGAACAGCCTTATTTGTCCAACGTATTAACATAAGAGAACAGAGTCAACTGGCCAAATATTCTTAGTGAAGCCAAAGTTCTGGACAAATGAGAAAAGACTAGTGTGAAGAGAGTTAACATTCCAGTACACAACTAAAAATAACTAAACATAGAATGCTTCTGGTCACGTCCCAATTTGAAGAGTGAAATTATCAAAAAGGAGCATGTCTTCCTAAACAAAGTTCCTCGTTAGGTTCATTTTCGTCCAATTCTCTAATCCTTGATTGCAAAACTAGGATAGCATTTCCAAGGTGGAAACAGTCGCTCTGACAGGCTTGACTTATTAGAGTTATACTCCTATTGACCTCGCCAGACCTCGTGATTCTTAAATGGGATTATGTCATAAGGAATACACAAATGATTAGATACATAAGAAAGGATAGAGATAAAAGATGAACAAAGAAGGCAGGTGCCCACACTGAATTTAAAAGGTCTCCCTTCAGTTGTTCAGGATAATGGGGGGAACAACAGACGCCTCCTTTGCTTCATAGACAACCACAAAAGGAGAATTCTTAGAGCACAGCTTCCAATCAATTAAATTAGGAAATGTATAAAATATCAGGGTCCTTCCACTCATATGTAGCCCATTCATCCCAACCCCTAGCCAAACAATCACAAGACAAAGGCCTCCTCCCCTGTTTGCAAACGTTAGAACCACAGAGAACAAAGAAATGGGTTATTCTGCTTCTTACCAACCAATTCTAACCAACTTGAAGGCCACCTTTTCTTTTCCTGCCATTTACCAGGTTGTCCAGGCCACTTCTTTATTAATAGAACAGAACATTAACACAAACGTAGCCATTGGACTACATTAATTTACCATTGGCATGCATATAATATACTTAACTTCACCAGATGCAGCCTAGTGCTGGGCAGAAAATGATCTTTGTCTTCTTTTTGGCTAGCAGCCAATATGGAGTTTTTTGTATCATGCCATTTCTAAAACTAAAAGCATGAGAGTTATTGTCCCTTTCACCTATAACCATCACAAAGGAGCTGTTTGAATCTTATATATATAGGCCCATCTGCACAAGTTACTGCTGATAAAAGAGGTTTTCTAATCACCTTCATTCATTGGCCCCAAAGCTCCTAAAAGTGCTTCAAACAGTGAGATTTAGTGAGCAGAAGTCAAATACAAGAAGGAAGGAGGAGATCCTAATATTTACTTTTCAAAAAATTACACACTTTTGCAATTGCAACTTTCTTTCGATGCATCTATGTGAAAAGCATTCCAATCCCACACTCTTGTTAACAATGCATATCATATAGATACAGATGTAGAGTATTGAAGCTACACCCTCAAATGATTCTGAGTTGGCATCATGACTAAGACAAGTTGTCCAGGAAATGATGTGTTAAAAATTTCATTTTCCACACCAAATTTTCTATTTTCAGCAAACAACATTAAGATTTGGAAAAATGGCATCCTTTCAAATATTCCTATCCAGAAATCAGAGCACAGCAACAAACATGTAAGAAGCACCTCAATCCAACACCATATCCAAGCAGATGGGTGAATCATGGTAATTATTTATACATGTAAGATACAGATCCATAGTATTGTGTAATAGACTGAATACTGCTAAATTACTCAAACAAAATAACAGGAAAATATAGAGAAAAAGATTGATTCTTTGATTAAAAAGATTGACTTTTACAAATTACAGTAGCAACTTTAGGTTGCAAATCTCCAAATTAGTTTGAGGCTACTACTCTCCTAATAGTGATCTTGAGGTCACAACTCTCAAATGATTCATTCCAAATACTGCCTGCCTTTTCCTTTCCCCTCGCTCTGTATTTATACAAGGCTAAAGACATTAACCTAATAATACTAGACTACCCATATTGCCCCTCCTTAGGTTAGTTTATTACATATTGAAGCAACACCCTCAAACAATTCTGAGTGGACATTCTCATGTGGGCAGTCTTCAATGCAAGTTGTGCATGATTGGCTAAAACAATTTGTCCAAGGGACATGTGAAAAAATAAACCATGTGGTTACCTCATCACAATTCTAATTTCAACAAAATATATGTGAGATAAGAATCACAGACACATGAATACTCCTATCTTAAAATCAGAGAACAGTGATACACGTGAGGCAAAGCTGAAACACAGTATTTAATGCAATATAGGCATCATATTTAGATATCAGATATTCCTCCACATTTTCTAAGGCAACAAAAGGGAACTGAGGAAGTATCGTACGATCACGGAGACTTAATTTAACTAAAAACAATGCTTTTTATAGGGCATTAACTTACTATAAACTAATACTGTACCTCAATAGGGCAACTGGAAGTAGCTCGTATCCATTATCGGGCTCGAAATTAATTCCTTCATCACGAAGCTTTGAGAGTATAGAAGCGTAATTTTCTGCTGAACATACAATTTTATAGTACCTGCTCTTGGGAAAAGAATTAAAGAACAGGAGCTCAGAGGAGTGAAAATTGCAAACTGTGAGGAGGCATAAGGAAATTGCATAAATTGCACTTCCAAAATACACCAAACAGTTCCTTACTCAGAATGAATCGAAAAACAAGATAATAATACAAAGGAATTTCATAAGCCAAATACAACTCACGGGTAACAAACCATCCATAGAGATAAAATTTCTACATTACCTCTCTGCCTGATCTTCTTCAGAGTCGTCTTCATTGTCTGAAGGTTCAATC